AACAGTAACATTCAGATTTTGTTGTGGCAAAACGAGGTGATAAGTGTAATTTAAGAGTGAAAAAATACATCAATAATGTGAAAGAGCTGCTGAAAATAAACATAAGGATTAGAAGATAAAAAATGAGAGTACATGCCAGAAAATATCAGCACCTGCTATACGCACATACGCACACACACACACACACACACACACACACACACACACACACACACACACACACACACACACACACGTTTTTGTTACCTGGTGGGTCCCTTTGACAGGGCCGTTCAGAATGGGACCCATAGACATAATCTTTTTTTACTGGGACTACTTTAAGTAATACAAAACAGTCAATAGAAACCAAACAACTATTTTAAAGGAATTTTATTTTATTTTGTTTTCGAATTGCAGTGATTCTATTTTTGACATAGAATTTAATGCCACTCCATGTCCGATGTCTAAGGTCATCTGGTGAGGCATTATTGCAGGCCAGGCAGTGAGACTTCCCAGGGACCTTTCCAGTCTGTATGAAAGGTGTCATGGTCTTCTCCACAGCCTTCACCTCAGATGCAGACCATGGCTTTCTTACACGTTCTAGGGAGAGAAATAAAAATATATTAGCAATATACACTCCCAGGGTTAGGACCAAGCAGCCTGGCTGTAATCCCCCACCTGGTACACTTACCAGAAGGGGCACTGCCACTACCATGGGGTGCATCTGGATGAATGGTTGAAGGTTCTCCGCTTGAAGTTTCTTTTAGCCCGTCCGTTTGTGAGAGGATCTCTACTGCTCTCCCTGTCGCACAGAAAATAAAAATACAAGTGGCCTTTAGGGGAAAAAAATCATACATATTTTAATAATATCAAGAATTACCTTCAGGCTCAATTTGTATCTGGTCGAGGCTCTTTCCTTCGAATTCCGTCACTCTTCCCTGCTCCATGGCCATCAACACTTTGCTGATTTTGGCCAGCTCCAGTGTCCCCTCTGGTAGTCTGTAATATTGCCTGTGGATGCGAATGTCATGGCCGAGGAAGTTGGCAAGTATGTCCATTTCATTCTCTTTCATATTGAGAACTGTAGACATAGTAGCTATGTGCTTTCTAAGTTTGGTTGAGGATAGCATCTCTGGATGCACCGCACCACATTCTTTGGCTACCTGGCGTAGGGAGTCTGATCCCCTGATGTGGGTGTCTGCGCCCGGGCGGGAAAAGAAGTATGGGTTATGGTCAGAGATGGAACAGGCCCTTCTGTTCTCCACCAGCACCTCCATCGAAGCAATCATTTCAGGAGTCAAAAGAACCGGCACTTTCCGACTTCTTTTCCCTTTAATTTCAATGCGTTGAAAATGCTGACACAGCTTTTTCTCAAGTTGGGACAGTCCCAGAGCAATGTCAGAATGGATCCCAGTCTTACTTCTTAAGGTAAAGGCTGTCAGTGGCATCTTTGAAACCTCACCTTCCCTTCTTCGATTGAAAATGATGACCTCACAAAGAGTCAAAACTGCCAGTTTAGACCAATGCTTAGACGTTGGCTCACTTATTAGGGTTTGCACATATTCAGGTCGACATACCTCAATATGTGCATGCATGGCTCTAACGTCCTCAGTCAGAGGGAGCAGGTCCGGAGTGTTCCACTTGGCTTGCCGGAGGGTCTGTAGGGCAGCAGAAGAAACACAGACGTCCCACCTCTTCTCAAAAAGCAGCCGGCTTCGTTGGAGGTTTTTAATAAATAGTTCATCAACACAATGCTCCATTTTTGAGTCACATTCAAGAATATCTGCTAGCTTTCTGAGGCTATGGCCGAGTTTGAGGGCCAAGGATGGAGTCTTGTATTGATTTGTTTCCTCATCATATCCAGCCACAGACCTGACTGCATCAATCACATGGTTAAAGTTGGAAGGAATAAAGAAATCCTTAATTGTTTTCAGTTTCCCTGCGGTTTTTGCTTCATTAACACTAGGAGCGCCCCTAGCGGTCAACTGACCGTCACTCACTTTAATATGCTAATTAGTGTATTCAAAACAAAACGCCAGAAGTTGAAATTTTATGACTTTTACTGGGTACTTGTTGTTTATATTTTGGTGTGTTTTGTTTTTGGAAAAAGTAAAGAAAACAAGATTTACACGCATTTTAACTTTTCTAAACCACAGCCCTTTCTGCTGCCCCATAGGGATACATGGCGCAGGGGCGACTGTTGTCATAGTAACCTTTCCCGGGGTTTTTCGCGCCTTATACAAATGTATCAATATGTTGTCATTAGACTCTAAAGGGACTTGAGGTTTTTATTTGGGAGAGAGAGAGTTTTGAATTGAGAGGAGTACAACATGAATAGAGCTGCAAGTACACGGTATGAAGCCCTGACAGTGCTTCAAGACATTGAATGAGAACAGTCTGACGGAGGTGAGAGATGTCACATTTTGAGGTGGAAAGTGACAGCGGGGAGAACACTTATAATATTCTAAATCTGAACGTAAACCCGTAGTGCATTCACGGCACGGACAGCAGTGTTGGAACAAGTCCAGAAGCAATAACGCACATGACCCGCGTAATGCCAGCCATACGCAGGTGTCTGTGTGCGCGCTGTTGCTCCATTCTGCCTTTTCATTCATCATCAATTACATTCTTATATTTATACATAGAAGAAGGCAATAAAGCAGAATACAATATCGCAATAAAATAGAACAATTAGATGAACTATCAAGGCAGAGTGCAGATAGAGCGCTGTGAGGCCTCTCGTCACCCGCGGACACCTGCAGGAGGAGAGCGACTGTGGGTCAGAAGCGGCCCTCATCATATCAATAAGGATATCTTTCTTATTTCATTCAGATAACACTGTGTGTTATTCTGCACAGCGCGCACTGCAAGGCAATGATTATAATTGTCTTCTGATCATAAAGAGCACTGCTTGTCTCAAATAAATACAAATATATATATATAACGTGTCCCGTGTAAAATTGAAGATTGTACATTGACGATGGTAGCCTAGCTGATGATCTTGTGTCAATACGAATACTATTATTATTATCTAGATAATATTTCCCACAGTGATTTCGGCTGGAAAGAGAAAACAGTCTGGAGATCTTATCATGCCCGTGTTTTAAGTACAGGTGCTCTCCGAGTCTCAGAATCCCCTTTTCTGCTTTGACAACACCCGTGACCTCATCCTGATGCATTGCCGAAATTAAAGACCACAGCTTTTTGCTGATGCCCTCCGGTACAGGCTGGGCTAGGGAGCAGAGGGACTGGACCCTACTTCTACCTGGTTTAGCCTGGGCATCTTTCTGTGAAAGCCGGCACCTGGCCACATGCCTCCACAGCGACTTTCGCTTAAGCAATGCCCCACAGTCTATACAGTGCAAAAACTCACTGGATTTAACTGGGGAATTTGGCTGTTTAGCTGGGACTAAAGTTCCAATGCCGGCCTTTAAAACCTCAAAATTGTGCTCACGGTTTCCACTATTCCTGATCAAATCAAACTGAAGTTTACGTGCTTTAGATTTCACAGGTAGAGCCAATGCTCTGGCTACGTCACTTTCATTTCCATGTTTTCTAGTCAAATGACGGGACATTTTGTGGCAGGACATTGAACAGTAGAGGCAGAAGTGTCTCTTGCTGTAAACCCTGCCCCCATTTTTCTTCTTTTGCAGCTGCATGATAACAATCTTATTTGCCTTTGGTTCGTCACTTTCCGAGTCTTGAAGAAAAGTGTTTTTGATTTTTCTTTTTCCATACTTTTTTACAGGTTTCTTCTTGACAGTTAAATAGTCAGAATCTGAGTCGACTTCATCAATTAGGGACTCTTGACTAAGCTGCACAAACAACAAATAATTTGTAATCATTCTATATAACAATTTGAAGTCATGACTTGTAGTCAGCACTTACCAGTGGTTTGTAAGCGTGCGCTTCAGTGTGCTCCTCCATGATGTCTTGCAGCCTAATGATCCACACACTTGCACCTTTTCACCTGACTTCCTCTGTTGTGCTGCTCCATGATTGGCTCCAGCCTGCTGGACTGAAATTGCCCCAGTGTGCCCCTCCCTGATATCCCGCAACCCACCACCAGGGTTCCGACACATAACACACTTTTTTCAGGAAAGTAAACCTCCAGGGGTCCTTTCCATATTTTTACAGAGACTGCATAAGGACCGTTAGAAAAGCATTACCCATTGATTATTAAGCTTGGATCAGTGGGGTCCGGTGTTCGGGCCCCACCACGTAAAACCAGTCCCCATGACGTGAGTGGAATCTCAGGTTATGGAACCCACTAGGAGTTGAAAACAAGTGCACACACACACACACACACACACAACCACATGGGATTATTTATTTATTTTTCAAACGTTAATGACTGTGACATATTCTCCACAAAAAAACATCATACATTTTGTAACGCTAAATGTAAAGATTGTCTGCAACCATAATATCCCTTTCAAACAACCTCACCTAACTTATTAAAAAACCAAACGTTTCAATGACTTGTGGGCGCCGTGTCGCAATGGTTCATGGGATATGGAGGTTTTACAATCAGGAAGTAAGGGCGGCCATAGCCTTGTATACATTTTGTGATGTCTTTAAACTCTTATTGAATATTGGAATTTTTTGGGCAACTGCACTGGTAGAGGTGGATCCACAGAGCACGCTGGGGTAGTCTTGCACAGCTATTCCAATGTGGTTTTATTGCAAATGGCAAATAATTTCTTGAATATTGAATCAGATCACCATCTGTGCTCAGAGCAGAAGTAATAATGTTCTTATTTATCCCTCTATTCTGCTGCAATATGAATAACTATGATATAAAAATGCGTTTATTTTATCTTGTCTTGTCTTAAGGTGGCCTGTAATTAACCGAACCAAACGTGTCAAAATATATTATACATATACAGTGCATCACTTTTAATCAATGCCCCTGAATGATATTGTTTTACACAAGCAGAACTAGATTGCCCCGAGCTTCACCCTGCTCCTCTCTCTCGCATCCCTCCGTCCTGGTGGGGTAACGTCCACATCTGTCTTCAATGTGTCTAGTTTCCCAGCATGCATCGGGCCACAGCCGCTGTACCGCCGCCAAACCAGGCGACACGCGATGTGTGCATCTGGTTTCACTGAGGTGTCAAAACCCTCTGAAGGGCTCACCACAGAGACGTCCATGTTTACAGGGATCTGCTGAAGTCTGGCCCCGTCGCACACACGCGCTGCCGGAGAGAAACCAGGGCCTTTCGCTGAGAGATCCTCCGCCTTATTTGTGTCCTTATGTCAGTCTGTCGTCGGCCCCGTGTGAAGAGCCACGGAGCAAAGTTGGCAACTGGGATGGGACTTTCCTCAGCACAAGCACAGCTGACAACGGGACATGAATATGATATTAAAAAGTGATGACGGATTTGGGAAAAAATCTATATGTTCAGTGTTATCTGGATGTTTTTGGAGGCTCGAGGAAGATATCAGGTTGTGCTTTTACACCCCCCAGGCCAGAGCTTTTATTACTCATTGTTAGAGATTGTGTAAAGCCATGTAATGTCAAATAAACATGTTTTCTGATTTAAAATTCAACAGAAACTATTTAAATGACCCCCTAGAAGTTTCCATCCCCATTTCAAAAAGTGTGCATTGCTCCATCTATGACAGCCTTGAATCCTTTGAGGTAGAGGTAGATTAGGTTCTTTATCCTCTCTGATGGTAACGCTTTTTATACCAATATGGCTTCACACAAAATCAGTAACAAAAAGTGGGGAAAATGCCTAAATATGGCCTAAACAATGAGACCTTTGGCTGGGTGTGTTCACTTCTCAAATCATGAGAAGCAGATTTCCAGAACAGCTAAAGACAGATATAGGTCCTGATCACGTCATATTTACTCAAATATGCTATGGTTGTCATGTCAAGACCATTTTGACAGACCCTTCGTTTTCCTCAGCCCTAGAAGGAAAGAAAAAGTAACTCCTGTCAATCCCAAATAGCTTGCGGTTTCAACGTTGTGCTCTAAGTGCCGTGAGACATGTGCACGATAAATCAGTTTGCCCCAATGTTAAAGGGTACAGATTCTGCATGTGTGCAAGTGCTTCATAAAGAAGGAGCTAAACACAGCATCCACACTCCTGCTGCTTCTCATATTAAGCTCTTAATATTGTTCACATTCATTCACTGATACGTGCTTGTTAAAGGTTTTTAAGGAGATTTCACCAGATGTCCCGCCTCATGTTCTCTACAAGACCACTCTATTTTTCTTTCTGTCCTTCCCCTAATGTCATCCCAGTCCTCTACTCTCTCACATATTTTTAGCTTACCACACAGACATATTTTTTTTCGCTTGTATTTTCGCCAAAATCACAAAGAATCACAAAGGGGATCAGGCTGAGCACAATGTTTGGCAATGAAATGAACCAATTATCTTTGTGTTTATATTATTAATTTGTAGAAACATCTTCCTAAATACCCTGTATGAGTAAAACATTTGCAAACAATAAAACCAATTTTGCAGTTGCGTTGATAAAAATCCACCCATCTACACTCAATTAGTACGAAATAAGGATGTGTGAGAAAAGTCCGGCTTCACCACACGCCTCTGGGGCCACACTCTCCAGTACAAATTGCGCTCCTAATCTGTATAAGCTCCGTGGTGCTCCCCTGCTCCGCGGCCCTCACACTTGGGCTGATATGATCTGTTAGTATTGGCTTACTCCGTGTGAGGGACCCATCTGAAGCTTATTACACCCCAGAGTACAATTCTCGCATGCCATCAGGAATCAATAAGTCAAGCTTTGGACGGATCCGTCTTCTCGGCCTCAAAAATCCACACACAATTTCATCCAAAAATATTTCCCTGCTGCATTTTTGTTATGTCGGGCTAAGATACATAAATACAGTCCTGAACAAGCAAATGTGGCCTCATTACATGCATTAGCAGCAGTTTCATTACAGAGAGGCTGGGGATTGCTGAGGAAAGTATATGAAGAATCTGCTGAGTGCACTGTTTGCCGGCCCTGTGCAGTTCTCCCACTCGGCTTCATCCACAAACATATCTATTCAGAAAATGCATTTATAGATAATGCAATGTTTTGGACAGCTTCGGTCAGTAGGAAGTTAGCAGTGCAGGAAACTTTTCTGAAAGTAGACTCCATTGTTGTGAGCGATTCTTTTATATTTGCCAAAGAAACACTTCTACACTTTTATGCCCTATGCTGCTCGAACAGATTTGAAATAGCCTAAATCTGAATCCAAATGTCCAAACATAACACGCCTAAAAAGTCCACATCGAGATAAGTTTGCATGTTTGACAGTGAGTCTCAACATATTAGATGTAGCTTTCTAACGTGCCCTCTTTGTCCGTCGGTAAAGTCCATGTCCATTAGCTCCTCGTGCTCACATCAGTTTGGGAGCAGATAAGAGACAGTTGTGATCCGCCGTGACTAATGAGTGAAGACAGAAGGAAGCCTGGGATTTCCTACAACCTCACTGCAGCTGCAGCCGCCTTCAGGAACTCTCTTCATCATCAACTCTCAGATCATCCATGGACTGGTTCTGTTTTGATTCATCCCAGTTGTATTCTATGGGTTGATATTCTTTGTTTTTGTAAACTTTTAAAATTTGGTATATTTCTGACTTCTGTTTTGTGTGGTGTTTTTGTGTTACTGCGTGTGAATTGGATTGCTGTGTCCAATCTCAAAGCAAAACAAGTGAATTGACTCATCAAACTAATCAATTATTAAAATAGTTAGTTAAGTAACAAATCAGTATTCTTTTGAACCTTATAATCATAACTCAGATCATTCTAAAATGACTGCACAGATGTTCTCCAAGGGCATCACTTTAGCTTTGTTTTGGTTAAATGTACAAAAAATTCCATATTTATTGAGCTCGCAGGATCTAAATAACTAAAGGATTAAGAGAAAGAATAATTGACCAACTAATCACTGTGTGAGGATTAGATAGCTATTTGGCCTACGTGCAGGACAACTGCAGGACTCTACAAGGACTCCATGTTTTGACTATGATGTGACTGTCTCTGTGTGACACGTACGTATTTCCATGTGTGATGTGACAATGACTATATAAACTGTGTACTGCCTTTATTCTGTCTGAGAGAAAGAAACAATTGAAACCACTGGAACTTGAGAGAAACCAAAATAAACTTCCAGAGTTTGGCGCACCACGATCCGTCTCTGTCTGGTTCATTCCTGACAACTGTTCAAATAATGATTTATTATATCCTGAATTTCAAACAATAAATAAATATTGGTTCTAACTTCTTTTAAGTTATACCAGCATGTGTTCCATTGAACACAGTGTCCATACAAAAGTGATCAAACTTAAAGCCCCATCCATACATCCATTCATTACCTTCCGCTTTATCTGTTGCCGGGTCGCGGAGGCAGCAGTCTAAGCAGAAACGTCTAGACTTCGCTATCCACGCACACTTCCTCCAAATGAAACAGTCCCTCTCTTTGGAATAAGCATCACCAGTAATATTTTCTGGAGGAGAATAGTTAGACCAATGGAGAGAGAAGCCTTGGCTGGCAATCAAGGATTGGAATTAATTGCGTCCAATCAGGCCCCTGTGGGGGCGGGTCTAACTGGCGCTTAAATTCTTAAAACATCTCTCCATCTTCACAATTCGAAAAGTAACTGACCTTTGCTTTAAAATACAGAAATACATACCAGGTCCTAAAGAAAGAGACTAGGTACCCCAGCTTTAAGTCCAAAATAAAAGTCACTAACACAGTTCCTACTCCATAGACCACAGTCTGTAAATCATTTAAATACATCAAGTTCAGATAACAGAACAAATTGTATCATTATTAATGTCTGTAGGAAACCATATTCAGATTATGTTTTCACATCTCAGTGGGAATAAGAGACTGGAACCTCGACGTCTTCGCTCTGACCACATCCCAGCATGCACTTGGCTCTCGGCAATGCAACCAGCCTGTCCAAGTTCAACACCATTACGCATGTATCCACAGTTTAGACAAGGAGGTTATTAAGCTCAAAGTGTGCAGTGTCCTGGAAGAATCTGTGAAGTTTGGTTTAGTAAAAGACCAGTTGGCATCAGTGGGAGTCGGTAAATTGCTTTAAAATGTCATAGCTCTAATGGGTCACAATGGAAATACCAGCGCAAAATCCCCCTTCTGAAACCTTGTGGTGAGGAGTTTGAGTTGGCCATGTAATAGTCTCCCAAACTTTGATTCATAAAACAGCTACATTATATTCCACCAAAAAGTACAAGACACAATGATCTAGTGAGATTACTATTGCAACAACACATCATCAGTAGGGAAAAACTAACCTGTCTCACAATGGCCTAAACCAGGCATGTCCAAACTCAGGCCCGCGGGCCAATTGCGGCCCTCTGCCACTAACACAAAGTTTGAAAGTGTCATCCAACCAACTTCAACTCCACCAATACAGTCACGCTATCCCTTGTTGTAAATATCAGACCCTCTGGAATCCAGGCGTTGACTCTTTGTTATGTACTGTCATGTGTTTTATGATTGTGTCACAAAATTCCAATTAAAATGCAGCCGTGTTGGGAATCAATAAGAACGTATCACGACCCATTTTAAATTCCAGAATCCAGTCAATCCAGCTCGAATCCAGGTTTTAAATCCAGGTTGTCGGCCCCAGGTCAAGTCTGATAAACTAAAGTGGCCCTCTTGCTAAAAGGTTTGGACACCCCTGCTCTAAACCAACTCATGTTCCCTTCTTTCTTTCTTTCTTTAGCGTTCCCTATTAGTGGGTAAACAATCCAACACTTGGTAATTTCTGCTTCACATGATAGGAAGAGCTGACATCGAAGGATCAAATTGCGACGTTGCTATGAACGGTTGGCCGCCACAAGCCAGATATTTCATTTGCAAAAACAATATCCAAACAGGTTTTGAAATGTGTTAAAATGTTGTATTCCTCAGGGAGCCAAATGACTTTACTTAACTTAACCTAACTGGAGGAAATAGGCCATTTTAGTGTTTATGTGCTAAACTTTTCTGTACAAAAGCTTTTAAAATGTGAAGTTTCCTAAAATCCACAATGGGTTGGTAAAAACTGTCCCTAAAATCCTTAGTGGGTTGGGTTAGGGTTAGGGTTAGTTTTTAAAGCCGTTTCTACATGATTTTGGCTCAATTTAATTTATTAGACTTTACTTCATTGACAATATACTTTTCCATAAAATGATTGAAATATTTTTTTAAAGATTTGTTATAATCAAAATATAAAGAACACATTGAAGAATATGTTACACTAATATGTGGGGCCCATTTTTTTTTTACTTTAGCCAAAAATAAAAAGTATGGCACCAGTGTTTACTACTATTTAAAATCATCAAAACATTGATATTGTCCGTTATTTTGAAAGGATTTGC